AGTTCGTCTATTAAAAAAAAATTTTGATTATTTGTGGGTCATACTTGAATTAAAATATCGGGAATAATCTTTAGTAATATCTATTTACGACCGATTTTCGGCTTAAGATACTAAATAAAAGACCAAGAGGTAAGTAAGATGACTTCGGCTTTCACCCTCGACCCCGCGAATTTCCCCGCCGTATGGAAGACCACTCGCGTGTAATGCCCAAAGAAGACGAGACCTGTCGGCCCCGTACCTCCCATATTAGACACTCCAAAGCGTAGAGAGTTTTTAAAGCCCGGTAACAACAAGAAGGACGCGGTTACTCGTCGAGAGTATCCTTCTTGCTCCTGGGGCGGGAAGGGGGTGCGACATAGGTCAAGAATAAATATCTCACCCTTGATTCTTTCCCCATGTTAGTTAATGAGAAAAAGTCTTTCTGGGCCGGGTGACGTCACGGACTGATACGGAAATTGTAGTACCGCCGTTCGGACACAACGAATATTTTCATCAGAGTCCGGCGCACTTCCTGGGGGCTTGCCTGAGTGCTTGTTGCTATCGAGGCTAGCTAACTCAGCTAACCTCGTCACATTGGAAGGAATCATGTGATCACAATTTAAAAATAAGCCGATAAAACGTTCAATTAACAGCGACTCTTGGCCAACTTTATAATCCCCGTATGTCACAAGCACTCTGCTCTCAGCTGTGTTTTTTAAACTGCAGCGCGTTTCTCCTAATGGCATTTTGGGCCATTATAGCACCTTTTTGCTATGTTAAAGTTTTACATTTAGTTTTTCCAACTTTTACACGGGTGAATGACTTCTTTGCTGGCAACCGACTGAGTAGAGCCCATATTGTAACCCAACATTTTGATGTGTGGCCCTCTCTCTGAATCCTCTGAAAGCCGCGCTGCACGCTGACTGTCTCGCTGACTGTCTGGCTGACTGTCTCGCTGGCTGCCTGTCTCGCTGGCTGACTGCCTCGCTGACTGTCTCGCTGAGTTTCTGAGGAATAAATCCATCACAGTTGACTTTGGTCGCAGAGCTTTTTGTGAAACCACCGAGAGATGATTTCTGCACATACCTGCCTCCTCTGGTTTTGTAAGATCTGTCCCCCTGCAGTCTGACTTGTTCTCCTAATCTGACTTCCACACACTGTGAACAGGTTTTTCATATTTTCGGACTCAGCTGGACTCTTCTGTTCTGCACATTTCGTTATCCAGAGAAAGTTTCATTTAATTGCAGTCCTGAAATAAAACTGAACTCTATTTCGCACTGCGTTTTGAGATAACTGTGTGAACGTTTCTCCATCAGCATGTCATTTTCAGTGGATCTTTAATTGGTCTTTTGTGCGCTGAGACACAGAAATACAGAGATTTAACGGACACTTTTAAATGACTTTTTCACGCTTATAGAAACCAATCAATCTTCGCTTTAAATCAATCTGTCTGGCCAGAAATATTTAGCTAAACATTTTTCTTTTTGATGGATTTTCTTTACCCATAATGTCACATTTGCAGGCTTTCAGCAGGGTATCGCTCATCAATGACATATTGAGTGTAATCTTTGACTCTCACAGTTAAAAGAAGTCCAATAAAAAACAGGTTCAGTACCTCCAATTAGAGCCGAGTCAGTCCTGATGGCATTGACTAAAGGTTGACCTGAAGCCACTACACCAGAGTGATCTACGGCAGAGAAAGGCAGAAGGAGAGATTGAGGAAGGAAAATGAGTGACCAAGAATGAAAAGAGGAGATGTGAGAAGAATAACAGAAAAGCAGAAATAAAGTAAGAAGATATGGAGGGAAAATAAGAGCAGAAAAAAAGAGACATTTAGAGACAAAATCATCATTCAGAGCAGACAGGAGGAACAGCACCAGCTCTATGGAAGCAACATGAAGCTGGAGGAAGACGACTCAGAGGAGAGGCACTGGGAGCTCCCCTCTGGTGTCAACATTAATTATCTCATCAGGCACATTGTCACGAGTCTCCTCAACAACGTGTGCATACTTAATGAGGCCATTACACAGTGAGAAACAGCAGCTCCTACCAAGGGAAGATAAGCTCACAAACAAACAAAGGGGAAATAATGGCACACTTGCAGATTTGTAAGCAAACATCATTTCAGGGGCACGGTTCAACGTTTTTTTTATTTGAGCCAACCTACAACCACACATTTACTACAACATAGTGTTAAAACCAGTGCAAATTCACAAAACCTGGGACTAAAGAAGCGTCCATACAGAGTGCCTATTGTCCTCCATACTGAACAAATCCAGTACTTTGGTGTAATGATAGACCATCTGCTATCCAGGGAAAAGCACATTGAATATATCTCTAAAAGGACAAAACAACGATTTTATTTTCTCCGCCGCCTTAGGTCCTTTGAGGCGAGTAGACAAATCCTTATTGTTTTTCACATCTGTGATTATAAGCGTTCTACAGTATTGCAATACTACATGGTACACGTGTTTGTCTTTTAAGTGAAAGCTGCTCCACCAAACAAGTAACTCTATCAGCCATAACTACATATTAGAGCTGGCCAACAACATCTCCTCTGACCCAAACCATCTTGAGCAGCGAATGGGAATTGTTGCCATCAAATGACAAACACAGGGTCCCAGGATTTATACAATTAGACCAGGGGTGTCAAACTCAATTTCATCGCGGGCCACATCAGCATTACACCACATTAGACTATATAAATATACATATATAAATATGTCATAAAATAATGTATTATATGACATTATTGCCTCTGAATTGGATTGTTATCGTATAGGGTAATAACTTCATAATCAACTGCATCTGAAAGCAGAAGTCCAGGGCAAATAATTGCAAGTCTCTTTCAGTGCGCATGTCACAAAATGAGATGCATTGTGGGACATGTAGTTTATGGGCAACGTGCTTCTGTATTACATTACATGTTATCCAAAGCGACTTACATACTCAATACTGTGGGCAATCCCCACAGGAGAAATTTGGGGTGAAGTGTCTCAGGGACACAACGACATGCTGACTGCAGTGGGGTTTGAACCTGTGGCTCCTGATCCCAACACCAAGGCTCTATCCACTGCGCCAAACGCCTCCCAGTAAACCGGCATGTAACCATATAATAAACGTATTATATTCTTTGCAAGCTCTCGCGGGGCCACATAAAATGAAGTTGCGGGCCGGATTTGGCCCCCGGGCCTTGAGTTTGACACCCCTGATTTAGACTGAAACACTCCTTTGTGCTAGATTCAATCTTCTGAATGCAGTCTATCAAATTATGTTATGTTAAAAGTCTGTTTCCTTGTTTTATTTTTTTGGTATTTGCCCTTGTTGATGTCACAAATGGAGCTGCTGTGATGCAAGAAATATCGCATCATATCGTCTCATATGACACATTCATGAATTCAAGCACACACAACCATCAGTCGTCCTCCATGCCAACTTTCAGCCTCCTTAGTCAAAAGGTGGGGAAACGGACTGATAGAGAGCGCTAAAAAGCTGTTGTCGATGCTAAAAGAAAAGTCAGCAATTAATGATTGGGCTTTTGGGAAAAGACAAGAGCAGTGACCTTTAAAATAATAAGAAATATCCTCTGTGTTTTAATCTATTTGCTGTGAGTCAGGTGACTCGAGGGATGCATTTATTCTTGCATTCATTATGTGCAATTTTTTTGGATCAACCAACTTTACAGCCGTTTCCCAATTCAGTTTTGCACTGAGAAGAAGGTCACTGTTGAGCCCCTGTTGTGTATTAAAGTAAACTTTTCCTCCGAGTTGCAGTGACTCAGCAGATAAACAGTGGGGCAATCAGCAGCTGAGCAGCGATTTCTCCTTCGGGGAGTCGGAAGAGGCCAAGAATAAAAGTTACAGGATATTATTATGGACTGAAACATGTGTCCAAATGACTTCTAATTGTGCTTCATAACAGCTGGATGTTCGGTCTCTACCCACGGCAAAATGTCAAAGTGTCCTTGGGCAAGTTACTGAACTCTACTTTTCTCCTCGAGGCATGTCAATGGTTTTAAAGTGTATGTAATTCACTCTGGATGAAATAGTCAGCGAAGAGAGATGTAATAATAAGCAATCTAAATGTAAACAGACATAAAAACCTTTGTATCTCTTTCCCAATTGCACTAATGGAAGCCAAACTTGAAAACAACAAATAGTACACTGAATGAATGCAACAATCTTGCACGGGTCAGTCCAGTAAAACTAAACGAACCTAACCATGTGGTCCTCTCCTACCTGACAGGTGGTGTGTGTTCTCTGCTGCGTAGGGATTGGCTGCAGCCGAGGAGCCACAGCTGGACTGCAGTAAAGGTCCGGAGATGGTGACGGGGCTGCTGTCCGGGTGCAGCAGAGCAGCTTTCAGAGGGCTGATGGAGTTAAAGCGGACCACCGAGAGACAGCCGGAGAAACCCAGAGACGCCAACCTGGACAGATCTGGATCCAGATCCTCCGAGTCTGGAGAGGGAAGGGTCAAACACTTTAAAAAAAGATTACTGTAACACTTCGATTTCTGCCACCTGTTTTATGTCTTGTCCTTATATGTTTCTTTGTTAAGCGACCTTGGGTTGATGAAACGCGCTATATAAATTAAAGTTATATTATTATTATTATTACTGCAAGTGTTTTCTGACAAGATTTCGTATATTATATTTATTCCTTTTTAATGCAATGTGTTTCCTAGTGACAGTTCAAACCAGCTCTGGAACAAGGAATCATTTTCTTCACACATAACTGGATCTCAAATGTTTTTAAAAACAACTCACTTGGTTTCGTTATTTTTCAGATTCACGTGACAAATATGCTTATTCACTTTCTTGCCAAGAGGTATTTGTAAAAGATAGATTATTTTAGCACAGGGACTGCAAACAGGGGACAAAGGCTATTAAGTATTCTGTTGTAAAGTAACAAAATGCTCGCAAAATAAATAAATAAATAGTAAATAAATCAAAGCATAAAACCTATGCATTGTGGTTTTATAGGTGCTGATCGTAGCTTTGTAATTAAGGTATCATGAGAAACAATTTTAACTCTCTGCAAGACTCTCTCATCCATACACTTAGTTAGTGTATGTGGGAGGCTGTGGCGCAGTGGAGTAGTGTGTTGGTGTTGGGATCAGGGGGGCACAGGTTCAAACCCCACTACAGTCAGCATGTCGTTATGTCCATGAGACACTTCACCCCAAATTGCTCCTGTGGAGATTGCCAACAGTATTGAGTACGTAAATCTCTGCGGTCCTGCCTGGGTCTCGTCATGCTGCCTCCCTGAAGGCTCCCACAGGATTGGAGATTCATCTTCTTATTATAGACACATGCATTTCCTAACATTTGGACTATCTATGCTGTAAAATGTATTATCTTTTCAATTTACACACGGCATCTATTGCACGTCTGTCCGTCCTGGGAGAGGGATCCCTCCTCTGTTGCTCTCCCTGAGGTTTCTCCCATGTTCCCCTTTAAACTGTGGGTTTTCTCCGGAAGTTTTTCCTTGTACGATGTGAGGGTCTAAGGACAGAGGGTGTCGTATTTTCTCATACTGATATTCTGAACAATCTGTGCTGTTGTATTAGCTGTAAAGTGTCTCTACTGTAGGCTATTTTTATTATATGTACAGCACTTTGGCTCGACCAAAAATCGTTTATAAATGTGCTATATAA